TAATAATGGACATGTCTACTGTTTTGTATGTAAACTTTTTTCCCAAACACGTTCTCAGTTTACTCATGGTGGTTATTGCGATTGGAAAAATGCTGTAACACGTCTGGTAGAACACGAAATTTCTAAAAACCACCTGATTTCAGTTATTAATTTAGCTGCACGGTCTAGAGAAGTGGGACGTATTGATCAAAAACTGACAGAACAAGCAGAAGATGAAGCAAAAACCTGGGGAGTAATTCTCAGGAGATTGATAAGTGTGATAGTTTTTATAAGTGAAAGGGGCTTAGCATTTAGAGGTGAAAACGAAACTTTTGGGTCTCCAAAAAATGGTAACTACCTTGGAATATTGGAGCTTATTGCAAAGTATGACCATTTTTTAAATGACCACATAAAAAAAAAATGGAAACCAAGGAAGTGGCCACACAAACTACTTATCATCGAAGATTTGCGAGGAGATAGTGCAACTAATCGGCAAAAAAGTTTTCAATGAAGTTATTTCTCGAATCAAACACTCAAGGTACTATTCCATATCATTGGACTCAACTCCAGACGAAGGTCACGTTGATCAACTTACTTTGATTTTCAGGTATTTAGAAGAAAATATTCCTGTTGAAAGATTTGTGGCATTCATGCCTAACCAAGGCCACAAATCAAAAGATATGTTTAAAGGATTGGACACATTTTTGAAAGAAAATGACTTGGACATACAAAACTGTCGTGGTCAGTCTTACGACAATGCTTCTTCAATGAGTGGAAAGTATAATAGCCTTCAAGCGTTAGTACTGGCAGAAAATAACTTGGCACTATGGGTACCTTGCGCGGGGCATTCACTCAATCTCGTAGTGCAAGCTGCTGCTGAATGCTGTCTGAGTGCTGTGAGCTTTTTCGATTTTTTAGAAGAACTTTATGTATATTTCACTGCCTCGACTAACAGGTATAAAGTTCTTACAGATTGTTTAAAAAGAACAGAAACTAAAAACCCCATTCTTATACCAAAAAGGACAAAAACAACACGTTGGTCATGCAAAGCAGATGCTACAAAAGCCCTCTTACGTGGCTATAAAGAAATAAAAAATGTACTTTTAGAAATTTCTGAGAATAAAGAAGAATTGGGAAAATCGCGTATTGTTGCTTTGAGTTTATATAAAAAATGTTAAAGATACAGACAGGCCTCTACGCAGTATTTTGGAATGATATCTTGGGACAAGTAAATAAAACTAGTGAAACATTACAGAATCCTAGATTAGATGTGAACACAGCTGTTTTAGCACTGAAATCGCTAAGAAGCTTCATAGGAACAAAACGAGATAGCTTTGAAGAATATGTTGTGAAAGTTGCAGAGTTGGATGATTTTGTTGAGTACGATTGTGAAACACAGCGTAAGCGTAAAATAAATGTGCGTTTGTCCCCTCTTGACAGTGTCCAAACACCAGAAATTGAGATGAGCTCTTCAAACAGATTCCGAATTTAGAGTTTTCTTCCTGTAATAGATCAACTTGAATCTTCATTGAAACAAAGGCTTGATGCATATAAACTAGTTGTAACCGTTTTGGATTTCTTTGTAAGTTAGATATACTTGATGATAAAAAGATAATTTTAGCAGCTCAAAATTTAGTAAAATTATACGATAATGACTTGGACGATCAATTAGGAAATGAACTGATTCAATTCAAGGCTTTTTACCAAGAGTTTCTAAAAGATGATGATGGAAAAAATGATAAAGTTATATCTCAGGAAAGATGGATGTACCAACTTCTAATCGAAAAAAATGTAAAAGACTATTTTCCTAATATTGAGGTAGCTTTAAGAATGTACCTGTCACTCATGGTCACCAACAGCAGTGGAGAAAGATCTTTTTCAAAATTAAAGTTGATCAAAAACCGTCTCCGAACATCCATGACAGAAGAAAGGCTCAACACGTTAGCTCTACTTAGCATTGAGAGTGACATTTTAAGACAAATAAATTATGAAGATATTATAAGTGATTTCATTAATACAAAGTTAAGACGTAAACTGATTAAAGTTTAAACCTTTAAATTTAATTTTTATTATTTATTAAGCTAAATATTATAATTATTTGTTGTGAATTTAATTACTAATTACTACCGTCCCAATATTAATAAAGAGCGTTGAATACCTTTTTAACTACTATCTATGTGATAATTGAATCCACACTTTTATACCTACTATATTTTAAATGTTATTATTTTCGGTCAAAAAACTAGAAGTTAGAATGTTGCATTATCCTCGATTTCGGGTAGAAAATTATTTGAAAATGTTTTAGAGATGGCTTAGTTAATAGTTTCACTATTCGTGTGTATGCCCTTTTTATTTTCTAAAAACTTTCTAGTAGGGCCCACACCACAATTGAGCCTAGGGGCCTACAAATCCTAAATCCGGCCCTAGTTGTAATGCCTTTAATCGCATACCTTTGGGGGGATATCGTGATATGTGTATGTGATGATAAACTCGGTACGTCATTTAGACGTATACGATTAAATAATGTAGAGGAATACGTCGGAAACACTCTAAATGACGATTAATATGCGATTTACGGTTTCGTGACACGCGAATCGTAAAAATTGTATCGCTTAAATGACGTGTAATATAGTATTCGTCGCATCTCTAAAACGGTTTAAGTGCTCGAGATTCGGTTACGGTTTTCAACTCAAACGGTAGTCGATAGGTGTTAGGATAGGTCCCCCGACGTTAGGTAGGCAGGTTCGAATCCCGTTCCGGCGTATTCCGGGCGGCCCCCTAAGAAACTACACGTACACGGGATTTTTTGCATTTTTTTTTTCATTTAATTCGATCATTATTAATTGCTATTTTCGTTTTGATATGACATTACTACTCATATAATATTTTTCAAATTTTAAAAACGATTTTTGATCTCACACATTACATTTATACTGCTTGATTGATGATGACAAAATATATTATATTATAATATACTTTACACGAACGTTAATTACACAATAGTATTCAATTATTCATTTTTTCAAATAGATTAAAGATAGATTATTGTATTCAATTAAACCAATTATAGTTATTGCTAACAGTCTGCACAATTCAAATGTACATATGTGATATGCAATTTATATTATAGCCTGAGAACATTCTATTGATGACGATACAGTTGTTTCACTCAGTTTTGACGGTGAATTCGCTATTTTATATGTTTAGCCTTTCAGTTGCTTACATTTGAAAGATACAGGGGAAAAACAGTAGCAAACTTTTTTTCTTTTGATTTTTAAATATTTTGTCATCACAGAAAGCGCATAATATTTCTTTTCGATATCTAACCATCTATAAAATATGAAAAAAAAAATTAATTATGTATAGTTTTTTAAATTTTCAACTAGCTAACGTTCGACATGCACTTTCCATAATACGTTTAACATCTCTCCTTTACGCCCACATCGCCTACCTGGGAGGTTCAAACGCGTTTAATTGGATTTTCAGTGGTGATCGCTTGAAAAATCGAGCGCTCGATTCGACTTAAACTTTTTTGCGTACTAAACAGCACAACGCCTTCGACGTCAGGAGGTATGACAATCCGCCGCAGGCGGATTGCCCTGTCAGGAATCGATATTCACTGGACGATGACTGATAACTAGACACTTAATTAATTTTTCGGAATGTATTTATTTATTTTCCATGCACAAAAGCACAGAGCAAGCTACGCGGATTGCCCAGTCGAGTATCTAGCGAAACCACAGCCTGGTTTCGCTAGTCTCCAGCAGTGGTTCTCAGGCCTGGTACTGCCAGGGCGGAACTTCTGCTAACGACGCCGGTCGCCAGCGTGGCGTGCGGGGTTGGGCTCCGTACGCGTCCGCTACAGGCCGGAGCGTTTGCCCGATCCGGGGGGCGACGGAAACGTCGTTCCACGGGCGTGAAGGCCTAGGTTTGCCCGTGGCGCGGAGTCACTCACCGGGTGGTTTTTTTTTTTTTTTTTCGGGGAGAGGCTACCGCGCCGGTGTCGCTCCCCTCGGAATCGTGGGTAACCGCGAGGACGATGTAATCACCTGGCGGGTGCCGAGTCGCCTTGACCTGCTGTGAGGGTCCTGGCGAGCCGTCCCCGGGAGGCGATGGCCCGAGTCGCGCCTAGGCGCGGCCGGGTGGACCGACTTTAGGGAATTTGTGGTTTCGATGCGGGCGCTGGTGGAAAGGCGCCCGTACCGACGGATCGGGGCTTCCTTGTAGCGGTAGATGTAAACGGCGCCGCCCCCGAGCGGCGACGGCTAACACCGATCCAACTCCAACTGTCGGCCCCACCCAGAGAGGTGGCGGCTATGCGTCCGCAGCGGTGACTGCTGACGGTAAACTAATGGTATATATGCTAGTCTCAATGGCAGCGGGCTCTGGTGTCAGCCGGGGCCCGCTCGCCGGGGCGGAATTTGACCGTGGTAGACATGGAAGCGGCAAACGGAGGCGGACGACCCGGACGCGGTGGCTCAGGTCATCGCGCCGGGCGCCGACTCGGGACGCATAAGGCGTCTAGGCGAACCTGCTCCCACGCGACCTCTCGCGGGTTGCGA